GCGTCCTCTCATGAATAATTACATACTCTTCGTAGAAAGAAATAAACTCATTAGAAAAATACTCTCCACCCCTATCAGACCTCAATCATTTGATTTTCCTTTCCAGTTGGTTTTCTACCTCAGCCTTATAGATCTCAAAGTAATGTAATACTTCATCCTTTGTTTTCAATAGGTACACATAGCAGAATCTAGTGCAATCATCTATCAGTGTCATGAAATATTTCTTTCCCCCTTTAGTCAACACGCCGTTCATTTCGCACAGATCAGAATGAACAAGTTCTAGTGGTGCCAAATTCCTCGCCTCAGATGCCTTGTGAGGCTTGCGAGGTTGTTTCGATTGAACACAAGTATGGCACTTAGAGCCTTTGACTAAAGTGAATTTTGGAATTAAACTCATGTTGGCTAAGTGTGTCATACAACCAAAATTCACATGACAAAGTCGCGAATGCCACACATTGGACTCATCATCATCATCGCTTACATGGTTCACAACTTTATTACACATATCATCCAAGGAAAAGCGGAATAAGCCTCCGCTGTCATAACCTTTTCCAATAAACGTTTCATATTTAGATACGACATATTTATTGGATTCAAACACAAGTCTAAAACCATCTCTACATAGTAGAGAGCCGCTAACTAGATTCTTCTTTATTGAAGGGCCATGCTGCACGTTCTTCAGTTGCACGATCTTTCCCGAAGTAAACTTCAGATCGACCGTACCAACACCATGAACAGCCGCAAGCGATCCGTTTCCCATCAACAAGGAGGAACCTCTCCCAACTTGATAAGAAGAAAACAGGGAAATGTCCGCACACACATGAATATTAGCACCAGTATCAACCCACCAATCAGGTGAGTGACAGACAGAGAGAACTGTAGGTAAAAATTTACCATACCCCAATGTTCCTCCGCCCTCACTAATAACCATGTTTGCAGACTTCTTGTCCTTGCGCTCAGGACAATCCTTGGCCCAATGCCCAGGCTTGCCACACACAAAGCAATCTCCTTTTGCCTTTCCTTTGCCTTTCTTCTTAAAATTGGTAGTAGCCTTTGGTTTGACATCAGGCTTGACTTTCTTGTTGTTGTTGTGAGATGCATGAGGGTTCTTCTTCTGCACCAAATTGGCGCTAGAACCTCCCTCGATCTTTTTGCCCTGGTTGTCCTTTGCCCTCGCCTTCTCCTCAACACCCAAAGAGACAATAAGATCAGTAACACTGAACTCTTGCCTCTTGTGTTTTAGAGAAGTAGCAAAGTCTGTCCAAGAAGGTGGCAATTTGGCAATAATGCCACCCACCACAAACTTGTCCGGCAACTCGCAGTTGTTGTTCTCAAGTTCCTTTGCCAGCATCTGAACTTCATGAGCCTGTTCCACTACAGAACGGTCATCGACCATGTTGTAGTCATAGAACTGCTCCATGACATACAGCTTGCTACCGGCGTCGGAAACCCCGAACTTGGCCTCAAGATCATCCCACATGTCCTTCCCTGAAGGCATGTGCAAATACACGTCCACAATACTGTCGGCGAGCACACTGATCAATGCTCCACGGAACAAGCTATCCGCAGCCTCGAACTTAGCCTCCTCCTCAGGGGAGAGAGGCGGTTCACTCGGTTTGCCCCGTGAAACAAAGAAACAATGCATCGCCGTCAACCACAAAAAGTGTGTGTGCTTTCCATCTTTTCTAATTTGAACCATCGAAAGCATGTGGTTTTAGTGATGCAGCAAAGCCAACTACCGAAAAAGACCTATCAAGTTTTTGGATTGTTGGAAATTTGGTCATAATTCGGCATATTTTAATCCAAAATATTAAGACAATAAACATGACATACACAATGAGAAACGATCTAGTGATAAGGCTAAACATAAACATAAGCATGCTTAAGGTAAAATAAGCATAGACATCGTTGACATTCACATAGGATTGAAATCCTATGGATAACATTGTGAACATGTAAATAACAAGAAGAAAATCAAATAAAGTTTGAATCTTATACCCAGATAATGGTGCAGAAGATGTTGAGGCATTCGTATTGCCTCCGTTGATGTTGTCTCCTCCGTTCTCTAAAGTAGAAGCCATGGTGAAGCAGAAGTAGAGGAAGATGCAACGTTGTCGTCGAAGAACGAAGAACAGGAGCAGTCGCGCTTGAAGCGCTACCCAAAAACTTGATTGCGCGCCTACCCGTGCAAGTTCTCAAGTGGACGGAGTTCTGGAGGCACCTGCTCGTCCCGTACACCTGTGTGCGCAGGTGAACAGAACCGGGTAAGGATTCTGCAGCTACAGAGGAGGAGGAACTCGAAGTGCAAGAGTTGGGAAGAACTTCGTAAGTCCTTCTGGTCGCTGCGGAGTATATATATGCGAGCGCGAGAGTAACATTCGGAGTCATCAACCGCGGTGTTTAATTTCGTAACCGACGCGCTCGTTAATACGGAATCAATTCACGTCGTTTAATTCCGTAACCGATGGAATCAATTCACGACGTTTAATTCCGTAACCGACGCGTTCATTGATATGAAATCAATTCTCCGTGTTTATTACCGTCCGTTACAAAACGAGAGAGCGCAGCAGCAGCTGTCTGCCTCGCCTCGCCCCGCCTAGTTGTCCACGCACCATCTCAACCGGTCAACAGAGACTCTCCACTAGCTCTGTATTTAAGTTGAACCTCTTCACTTAGATTTCCAAGGTGGTATTATTACCCATAGCATTTAATGTGGGCCAATGGAATTTATTAGGATTTAATTGGACCTAGCCCATTAATCTAACAGTGGCTAGAGCGGCTACCCTTGCATCAGCACCGTCCAGCGGTGGCGGGAGCTCAGCAGACGCAACTGGTGCGCCCCCCCCCCCCCCCTTCTCCCTCATCAGCGGCGGTCGGCCAGGGAGATGGCCGAAGGCACGCTCGCCGTCGCAAAAGGCGGGGTCTCATCGTCAGGGATGCGGTGCAGGTTGGGGGAGCTATTGGGCATGATGATTGAGCGCGCGGGAGGAGACTGAGATCCTAGTGGAGGAGCGCGTTGTGAGCGACGGGTCCTCCGTCTCTTCGCACCGCCTCGAAGGATACCGCTCCACGCCGCCGCTCCTCATCCCCGCTCCCCGCTCCCCGCTCCCCGCTACCCCTCCTCATCCCCGCTCCCCCTTTCTTCTTTGCTGCTAGACCTGCGGAACGACGGTGAGGATGATGGCGATGTGCGGAGGAGCCATTGATAACAGTGGCAGAGGGGCTCCAGCGTCAAGGTCCCCGCACTCTTCGCCAAGCTTTCCTCTGGCTTGGCATCATGCGCTTAACGAGAAAGCCCCTGCACAGCCGTCTCCTCTGCCGCCGCCTCCTCCGCACATCGGTCAGACCGGTGGCGAGCAGGCGATCAGACCAACGGGAGTAATGCGGTCAAACCAGCGGATATCCAATGGTGTGACCGGTGTAAATTCGCCAAATCCAAGGGTAACTTTTATTTTCACTAAATTTTTTTGGTTTTTAGTATTTCTACCGTTCACCCTCCTCTGATAGATTTGGTTCGTGTACTCGATCCTAGAGTTGCATCATAAACTATGGGTACATATTGCAGAAGATCTGAGTGGTCAAGATTTTTAAAAGGAAGGTAACCATCATTTAATTTGCTGCGGCTGGGACGGCACAATATTTTTCTTAATCGGTGTTGATTCGGTTGAATGATATGTTATTCTAATTTAAAGACAAGACACCTATATAAGGTCAGTGCCGATTGAATAAACCCCTCAACCCAATCGATAAATTGATTCTACGATTATTGTTCTGTTCTTTTTTTCTGGAGTAGATTAATCTATCTCTCTTTGCCGATTTGATTGAAAATCGGTCGCTCGTTGTCGAAAAACGCAATGGTTATCTTGTTATCAATTTGTTCCTGACAAACTGCGTGTTGCCTATTTTTAACGCCTAACACATATCCGGCAAAGTGGAGCTATATCTGAATATGTGGAAGATTTGATGGTATTATACATCAGCTGCTGGCTTACAATAATGCACCAACTCTATTGTAATTTTTTTAACGAAATTTGTGGAAAATTTTAGGGATGATATTAGGGCAGTCGTCGTGATTCAGAAGCCACGTGATTTAGATATTGTGCCTGTTTAGGCGAGATTAAGATTCTGAGAAATAGCTGGTTGGTAGCTAGCTTCTAAGAATCTAAAAATGTTGGGTTTCGCAGATTCTGACTTCTAGTTCATTTTCAGATTCTGACTTTCAAAAGCTGGACTGTTTGGGGAGCTTCTAATTTTGAAAGAAACTGCAGCCGCCAAAAGGTCCCCCAAATAGGCCAATTATTTGCCCATTAACCAAAATAACCTTATAGATATACAAGGTTCTACAATATATTATTGGGTATGGCTTTTCTTTTTTTCTTTCAAAAATACCCAAATACCATGTATACTTATTTACTCTTTGTGGATACAAATGTCGGGTTTCTGTCCATTATAAAACAAACAATTCCATGTTGTTTAGATAACATATTAACATTGCGGTGAGCCACTGATGTTCGATGATCTGTTACGTAGCTCCATTCTGGATGCAGCAGTTTTAATTGTATGGATGGTTTACAGGGAGAGATCAACTGCTAGAAACATGCTGCTGCTGTTGATCTGTTGTTGTAAGCTGACATTAGTAGATGATCCATTTATTCATGATCAATGCCAGTCTACCAAACACAGACATGGACATGCTTCAGAAATATATGTATTCTTGTGTGTGCGCAGCTGGTATGGCACACGTATTATCATGCTAGCTGATAGAAATAAGACACTAAAAGACAGAGCAGGGCAGTTGAGCAGAGTTATATTCCTGTTGACAGCAACAGTTAATTTATGGACGGTTTGGATGGAATGGAATTAGGCAAACTAAGTTCTTTAGTTAATCAAGCTAGAGCTAGAATGCCTAAACAAACACTTGCCCGAGGGGAATCAGAATAAGCAGCATTACAATCTTAGTTTTTTTTTTTCTTTTCAATCACAGTATGTGTTCTCTAGCTCTGAGCTAATATTCAGACACCTGAATATTTTGTTCTGTCTCCCTTCATCAATTCTTCTCTAATTTGTCCTAAATATTTAGCTGTCAGTCTGGTAGTATCTCTTCTTAAAGATGCTCGTGCGTATCTTGCAATTATCATATCGGGTCGACGACGAGTCGGCGACTGCTGCGCGCCTGCGCCTACGTATAAGAAGAGAATCGAAGTGAAAAATAGGTCATTTTGCGAAACACAATCAGTAGTTGGTAGCTCAGTTGATAGTGCTATTAGGCAGCTTCTCTTGCCAACTCAATTGAGACTACGACATGAGAATTAGAATTGCAGAGCAGGTGAAGATGCAGAAGCAGAGTACATAACGATGGCGTTAGGACTCGACGTTCAGAGAGTGAGCTAGTCAGCACGCCATTGATTTTTGTGCAGAGATCGATGGATAGACGGCGGATTCGGCCAGATGTGGAGATCGAATCTGTCGCCGACGACTCTGCCAATTATGTCCAGGTTAAATCTCTCGACTCAGCTGAAGTGCATGCAATTTACTGTTGATTAGTATGTTTAATTAATGGTGATTAGTTCATTAATTAAGCTAATTATGTGTGTATATCAATTGCATCGTGTAGAACATCAGGTTGGTGATTGACATCGGCGACAGGACGATCCAGGTCCCTCTCAATGGCCACACCGTCGTGCAGAACATCGGCCGTCAGGCTGCCGCCTCCGTCGCCGGTGATTCGTCGTCAGCCGGCGGCGTTAGTGAGAAAGCCGGTGGCGGCGGCGAGGAGTGGCTGCAAGAACAGGACGGCTTGCTGTGCATGCGCGGGTGGCTGATGGCGGCGGCCACGCTGTTCGCCGCCATGGCGTTCCAGGCGGCGCTGCAGCCGCCGGCGTGGATGCCGAGGCCGCGTGACTGGTTCGCGGCGCTGCTCGCCGCCGACCCGGCGGCGGCCGCCGTCACGAGGGACCAGGCCGGGAAGGCGATGCTGTATCTGATCGTCAGCACCTGCACCTTCGCCACGTCGCTCGCCGTGCTCCTGATGCTGCTCGCCGTGGGCGGCGGCGGCGGCTGCGCGTCGAGGAGGGTCACCGCGAGGCTGATCTCCAACATGATGACGGCCGTCGCGCTCTTCGCCGCGGCGACGTTCGCGCTCTGCGTCGCTGACGACTACCGGCTCATGGCGTTCGTCGGCACCGTCGTCGCCGTGTACGCCGCCGTCACGGTCGTCTTCGTCAGGTGCAACCTTGCTCTACCGTTTGGGAGAGGCGGCGGCGGCCATGGTTGTTGTAGCTGGGTGCCAAGAATGTAAAAAGACCGATAATACTGGGCCGGCCATGCGTTTGATTCAGCCATATATTATTACTATATACACGCGCGGCGCAATGCACAATAATGGAGTTTTGTACCACATGAAAAATTTATAGTGGTAGAGACCCGCATTAAACAGGACGTGGTAGTGTTGCTCCCGCGGAGCTTGGTGATGTGAGCTTGTCACCCCAGCTGTGGCGGGCGGGAGTTGGCAGGATTTGGCCGATGTTGGGTGGATCGAGGGTATAGATAAGATATCCCTGGTCTCGTTGGGTTGCTTAGAGCCCTGCGTTGTTTAACGTCAGTGAACTTCCCAGCTACTTTAACGAGAGAAGCCCACGGCCATATCATCTGGTCCAACTCTCCTCTTTTCTTTTTATGATGCTATTTTTCTTTTACTTTTCCCTTCAAATATCAAGTGGGGTGAAGATGATGAGAATTAGAATTGCAGAGCAGGTGAGGTGAAGATGCAGGAGCAGAGTACAAAACAATGACGTTAATCATGTTAGGATTCCACATTCAGAGAGTGAGCTGGAGCACATAATTGATTTTTGTGCAGAGATCGATGGATCGATTGATTCTGTCGCCGACGACTCTGCCAATTCTCCAGGCTAATCAACTCAGCTCAAGGGCTTTCAATTTACTGTTGATGAACATGTTCAATGGTGATTAATTAGTTCATCAGGCTGGTGATCGACATCGGCGACAGGACGATCCAGGTCCCTCTCAATGGCCACACCGTCGTTCAGAACATCGGACGTCAGGCTGCCGCTGCCGTCGCCGGCGGTGTCAGTGAGAAAGCCGGTAGTGCTGGTGGTAGCGGCGAGGAGTGGCTGCAACAGCAGGGCGGCTTCGGCTTGTTGTGCATGCGCGGATGGCTGGATGGTGGTGGTGGCCACGCTGTTCGCCGCCATGGCGTTCCAGGCGGCGCTACAGCCGCCGGGTGGATGCCGAGGCCCAGGGACTGGTTAGCGGTGCTGCTCGCCGTGGGCGATGGCGGCAGCGGATGCGCGTCGAGGAGGGTCACCGCGAGGCTGATCACCAACATGATGACGGCCGTCGCGCAGTTCGCCGCGGATACGTTCGCGCTCTGCGCCGCCGACGACTACCGCCTACCGGCTCATGGCGTTCGTCGGCACCGTCGTGGCCGTGTACGCCGCCATCACCGTCGTGTTCGTTCAGGTGCAATCTTGCTATGCCGTCTCGGAGAGGCGACGCCGGCCATGGTTGTAGCTGGGATTCCAAGATTGTAAACGCGTCTATGCAAAAATTGGCTCATTGGCTTTGTATCCAAACCACACAAGGACACATTGATTCTGCAACGAAAATTACGATGAGGACGAAACATAATAAGACCAGATATGATAATTACTGGGACGCCACAGCCCATATTAGTGCACGTGTAACCCATAAGAACAAAGTTTCGTACCACATGGAAAATCTACATCGGCTTAAACCGGTATAAAAAAGAACACGATCGAGATGCTACCACCGAGCTCGGTGGCGTGAGCTTGTAACCCTAGCTGTAGGGGGCGGGAGTTGGCAGGGTTTGGCCGTTGTTGGGGTGGCCGTTGTTGGGGGATCGAGGTATATAGGGAGATATTTCTCCCCCCGGGTCTCGTGCCGGATGCTAGCATTCTATATCTCCTTGCCATTGTGTTCGGGTCGGCCCTTGAGCCGCCGCCTAACGAAAATGTTCTAGGTGACTCCCTTTCTACTCACGAGAGAAGCCACGACCCTATCCTGTCCAACTTCTCTTTTCTTTTTCCATTGTGTTCGGGTCGGCCCTTGAGCCGCCTAACGAAAAATGTCTAGGTGACTCCCTTTCTACTCTTGAGAGAAGCCACGGCCCTATCATGTCCAACTTCTCTTTTTTTTTTGAATTCATGGTACATTCTTATTTTCGCACCTCTTTTCTTTTTAAATTCATGGTGCATTCTTATTTTTGCATCCTTTCCACCGACGAGATCATCCACGGATTCATGGTGCAGTTCGGTGCCGAGCGGATTCGAGCGATCTCGTCCTTTAGGCGGAGGGAGCGATTGCATCGATGCATGCAGCCGTCAGGCCTAAGGGAAGTCAAGGTGGAATATTTTTTTATTGTTTCATGTTGCGATGGATTAGAATTCAAACGTGGATCCCTCTTCTAATTTTATTTGGGTGGATTAGAGTCTGATTCCTTTTAGTTTTGTTTTTGTGTTTGAGTTGGGAAATTTGGAATCTTGAGAAGGCGCTAACCGCGCGAGGCAGAGAAGGTGCTCAACGACGGATGAAAACACATTGTGATGATGGGAAAAATCCAAAGTTTTAAGTAGGGATAGATTTGATTCAGACTCTAGAATTCTGGATGATATTTGCCGCGACTGGCTTTTCAATCTATCTTTGATTTGTGATTTCCCCACCATACACTATCAAGAGTTTGATTCGATCTCTGATCTGTCTTTTTTTTCCTTTTTGCTTTAGCCGGCTTGCGTGTCGCTCGTGTGTGGATGGAGGGCGCCGCTCGGTCGGATTTACGGGCAAAATTTTTGTGTGACAAAAGGAAAATTGTGAATATTTTAATTAGTAAAGATATGCTGTTGTTATTTATTGTTGATTGGTACGATAATTTCTTTGTGTGTCTATATAGACTTGATGTGATGCCACATCATCAAAACCGATATTTGTTTGTTTGAGTCAAAGGATGAAATTAATGACAATGGTTTTGAGAGTTTTGAGAGTTAACAGACCAACAGTAATCGGTTTGAATGCTAAGCATGAAAATGGGTAAATAAAAAAAATCATATCAACGATAAAAAGTAACATTTTTCTTATAAAGGCACCCGTAATGTTATATAAAACTAGGTAGTATACTTGGTATTAAGTACTGTGGAACTGGTACATAACATACCGTATAGTAGCACTATTACCAGAAACAAGGAGATAAATTATGTATGTACAGTCTCTCACACAAAAAGTAAATAAAGCAAGTGGTAGTTCTCTGACAGAAAAAGTAAATAAGGCAAGTGATTGTTGCTTCTATGGGCCTCAACTTATTGGCATCTTGCAGAAGTAAGCAATGTGGAGTGTGTCTATTCCTACTACCCATGTCGACAATGTACGTAATGTACGTTGTTGATGCCCTAAGTTATAAAGGGTCCTTTTGGAGAGCTTCAAGTTCTAAATTTAATTTCAAGAGCTAAGTCCAAAGTTGATTTGTAATTAATTTGTAAAATAGCCTGAACCCTGCTCTACCTTTCTAGTTTATTTTGTAAGATCTATCATCCTAGCTTGTTACGCTATTCTTTTTTATGCTAAAACCGTTTAGTTACACTTCAGCTTCAAGAGAGATGGAGCTAAAGCTGAAATTTCATCAAATAGGCCCAAAGGAAAGAGACTCATTTTACGACTCCTATCTTTTAGAGAAGTTTGGAAAATAATGCTATATTTCAAAATTGCCCTATATTCAAACCTTAAACTAATAAAACTATTTATATCTCATTTATAGAGTTGGCGTTCACATAGAAGTTTTGCAGATTTTTTCTGTTAACCCCAATGACCATGGGTAACTACCAGTATTCACGATGCTTTGTCACTATGTATATACTGTATCACGCATGGTCACACACACATGGCACAAACATGTGTGTGACGAATAACGACTGACCTTGTGAAGCATGACAAGCCGCAGGTCACTCCCAACCATCCATCTCATCTGGTTTTTCATAGCATTTTAAGCATATTATCACATAATTAAGCAAAAGATTGAGGTGGATAGAGAGTTAATGAAGTGAGAGAAAAGATGAGGTAACTATTTCTCATGTAAGAAGCTAGTTCTACACATAAACCAAGAATAAAAACAAGAGGATAGCTTCCTTGCAAAAAAAATAAAAAAGAGGATAGCTGAACAAAATGAGACAGAAGAGAGGTTATTGGATGGGAATTTACTATGAAGAAACCATTCATTGAGTATATAGTTTCTTCATATAGTGTTTATATAACATGGCAAGAATATAAACTACTTTTGATAGTTTTTGACTTGGGATTTGCCCTCATCAGGTCCATTTGGAATTCCAGTACATAGTGAGCAGTGTTGGGTAGTAATTAACTAGTTAAGGAAGAGCACACCGCACACCGGTACTACTATTTCAAGAAAAAAATGGAGATCCCAAAATCTTTGTTCATCCGTATCAAAAATTAGTTTTTCTATATGTTTTGAAAGACCATAAAAAAGCTAAGTGAAATTAAGAAGATTGCTAGACGGATATTCAATTTTCCTTTTTGTTTCTTTCTTTGTGTGTGGGGGTAGGGGAGAGAGAAGAGAGGATAATAGATATTTTTAAATGTCACACCGTGCATTGGCAAAATATACTTACAATTACTATAACTTCTAGGGTAGGCCGCCAGTTCCTCCCAAAGGCTAGGTACATAGCACCCCTACCGTATGGCACCACTACCAAATCAATTTTTTGGACGAGACTTCCTATAGGTTGCACATGGACCATAACTGCTCCCACATATAAAAATCGCTCTTCACGGGATCGATTCAAGGCATCGCGGGTAGCCGCTTAAGAGACCCGCCTGTGAAAATAGATTTATTTTCGCAGGAGCGCCTCTTAAGCGACTGCATGTGATAATGCATTTTCGCATGTGGGCCTCTTAAAGGCCTGCCTACAAGTATGTCTAACCGTCCACCTCTTTTCCCTCTCAACATCTTCAAACTTTTCCAAGGCACCTTCTCCCTCACCTCCTCACTTCCTTATCCTTACCTTCTCACGTCCGCTCCTCCTTTTATTTCTCACCTATGGGACTTTTTACCTTTGTTATCATATGATCCTAATGGTTCATGCTATTGTATGATTCATGAATCGAAAACTAATGGATCTATTTCATTTTCGTTAATGAAGTTGCTTCTGCGTCCCACTGCATTTTCTTCCTTCTACTCAGGGGTGGATTTAATGTAGAAATGATGGGGGCCTTGGACCCCAGTCAAAATTACACTCCTTAGGTGTATCCCTAGTAGTATGACCTATGGGCCCCCACTTTAATTGGGAGGAAGGACCCCAGTCCCCAAGTTTTCGTTCCTTTCATCGCAATCGCGCGTGCGTGGAGAGGTCGAACGGTCGCTCCCTTTCTCTTATTCTCTCAGATTCCATCAA